TATTATCAATGAGTTAAATACTGTTTTTCTATATTCATTAAATAATATTTTTTAATGTGGGTTAAATAATAATTTTGAATTTGGGGTAAATATTGTTTATTTATATTGAAATTATATTGGTTTTTTATGTAGGGTAAATATTGTTTATTTATATTAATCTTATATTGGTTTTCAATATTGGGCTTATATTAGTTTTGAATGGGATTTTAATATTGTTTATCAATATTGGTTTTATATGGGGCCTATATTGTTTTTAATATTGGATTTATATGGGAAAATGTTAACAGAATAATATTATAGCAATATTGGTAAACAATATAGAGCCCATAAAAAGTACAATATTGCGCCACGATTCGTTTCTATTAGGGTCATTATACCTCAATACCTCAATATACTATTAATTTATGTTATATTGTACTTGTGAATTTTTAAGAGCTCTTCAGAACCAACCAAATAGAATTATTAATAAAAATTTTGGAATGTTATTCTTTAATATATACACTTTGAAAATAAATTTTAAAAAAAATATGTACTGTGTATACTATTAATTTATGTTATATTGTACTTGTGAATTTTTAAGAGCTTTTCAGAATCAACCAAATAGAATTATTAATAAAAATTTTGGAATGTTATTCTTTAATATATACACTTTGAAAATAAAATTTAAAAAAAAATATGTTCCTTTACAAACTTTCGAATAAATAACTATTAAACTAGTCGATACCTCAAGGTACCATTAATTGATGTAATATTGCACTTGTAAATTTCGAGGAGCTCTTCAGGACGTACCGTGCAGAATGAGTAATTGAAATTTTGGTTTTATATTCTTCAATGCATGTACTTTGAAAATAAAATTTGAAAAAAGTGAGTCCTTTAACAAATTTCTGAGTAATTTACATCTAAGCATGATGATACCTCAATGTACTATTAATTTATGTCATTTGCACTTGTGAATTTTGAGGAGCTCTTCAGGGCTAACCGTATAGACTAGATAATTAAAATTTTGGTATTATATTATTCATTGTATGTAATTTAGAAATAAAATTATAAAAAATATGTTTCCTAACAAATTTTGAGTTATGAACCATTAACCATTTGGATACCTCAATGTACTATTAACTGATGTTAAATTGCACTTGTGAATTTTGAGGAGCTCTTCAGGCCGTACCGTGCAGAATAAACAATTGAAATTTTGGTTTTATATTTTTCAATGCATGAACTTTAAAAATAAGTTTATAAAAAAGTATGTCCTTTAACAAATTTCTGAGTAATTTACAATTAACCATGACGATACCTCAATGTACTATTAATTCATGTAATATTGCACTTGTTAATTTTGAGGAGCTCCTCAGGACGTACCGTGTATACTAAATAATTCAAATTTTGGCAGGGTGTTCTTCAAAATATACACTTTTGAACTATAATCAGAAAATAAAATATTTCCTAACAAAATTTTGAGTAATTTACAATTAACCATGACGATACCTGAATGAACATATAATTTATGTTATACTGAACTTGTAAATTTTGAGGAGCTCTTCAGGACGTACCGTAAAGAATGAATAATTGAAATTTTGGTAGTATATTATTCAATATATCTAATTTAGAAATAAAATTAGAAAAAAATATGTCTCTTAACAAATTTTCCAGTAATTTGTACTTAACTTTGCAGACAGCACGATGTGTATTTAATTTAAGTTATATATTAATCGTAATATTTCGGGAGCTCGTCAGGACTTACTATTCGGGATAAATAATTGCAATTTTGGAATTATATTTTTAGTGTATATACTTTTGGAATAAAATTACAAAATTATGTTTCTAAACAAATTCTCGAGTAATTTGTACTTAACTTCGTCAATTCTTCAATGTACTATTAATTTATGTTATAATGCACTTGTAAATTTTAAGAAGCTCGTCGGGACTTTCTATGCAGAATAGACATGTGAAATTTTGATAATATATTCTCCTTTACATAAGCTTTAGAAATAAAATTAGAATAAAATATACTCCTTAACAAATTTTCGAGTAATTAACCATTAACTACGACGATACCTCAAAGTACATTAATTTATGTTATCAAGCAATCGTAACTTTTAAATACAACTTTGCTCGCGCCGTTTTTACAATACAAGTCCTCTGCAAAAACAGCATAGGCAAAGTTGTACATTTGATATATTTTTTATTGTCACGTGATATATTTTTATTTTTACTCGCTTTTTACTTTTAGTTGCTGTAGAGCTTAATGATGTTAGACAATATTGTAGATTAATTAATTTTAGACCATTTTTCTTTAGCAAACGGTTTAAAAGTTACGGCACAAATAATACATAACAATTAGGCGTAAAACTTTTGTTCCGCCGTTTTTGCAATACGATTTGTACCCAAAAAACGGCGGGAGCAAAGTTGTACAATAATTAATAATATATTAAATAATTCTGGATACTCAAATATATATATATATATATATATATATATATATATATATATATGTATACATATATACAAATTATTTTTCACAATATATAAATAAATATAACAACCAATTAATATTTTAACATATTGGTGTACAACTTTCGTTCCGCCGTTTTTGCAATACAATTTGTTTGACAAAAGCGGCGGGTGCAAAGTTGTACGATAAATAATAATATAATGAATAATCCAGGATACTAATCAAATATATATATACAAATTATTTCTTACAATATATAAATTAAAAAATAAACTTACTTTGTCCACGTGTCGAACAAAATTCTGCACCCCAAGTCTTCGCCATTTTTACTTTTTGTAACTAAAAATGCCGAACTAAAACCCAATTTTTGTCCAACACTTTCAACACCGAATTACCACTTAATCTTAGCACTAAAAGTCACAGTAAAACTTCTGTCCGATTTCCGAATAATAACTAAATAATAACTGACTATTGTCTAAAATCTAGTCAACACGTTCGACGCCAAATTTAATATTTTATTAAACAAAAACTATGTCCATTAAAATCATCGTCGTCCAAGTCTCCAAAAGTGAAGGGTTGCACGCGCACCCAAAGACAGTGTTAACACTTCTAAAAAATAGTGAAATGGCGCGTAATTTGAATTTAAATTTGGTAGAAAAACATAAATTTTGTTTAAATTAATCGGACTCTTGAGGTTGTTGTTAATTAAATATATTACATTTGATGTTTTTAATTATTTTGTATACTTTGTTATTCGACAAATTTGTTCAAAATTAATTAATCTACAATTTAAAAAAATTAAAATCTATAATTAAAAAAAATCTTTACCAAATTCAAATTCAAATTCAAATTTTGCGCCATATTTGACACTTTTCACTAATTTTTACTAAATAACTTGTATATATGTATAGGTATATGAGTATCCTGGATAATTTAATATATTATTAATTATTGTACAACTTTGCTCCCGCCGTTTTTTGCATACAAATCGTTTTGCAGAGGACTTGTATTGTAAAAACGGCGAGAGCAAAGTTGTATTTAAAAGTTACGATTGCTTGATAACATAAATTAATGTACATTGATGTATCGTCATAGTTAATGGTTAACTACTCAAAATTTTGTTAAGAAACATTTTATTTTCTAATTTTATTTCTAAAGCTTATGTATTAGAGAATATAATATCAAAATTTCACATGTCTATTCTGCATAGCGAGTTCTGACGAACTTCTTAAAGTTTACAAGTACATTTTAACATGAATTAATGGTACATTGAAGTATTGACGAAGTCTAGTACTAATTACTCAAAAATTTGTTAATAAACATATTTTTTTGTAATTTTATTCCAAAAGTATATACACTCGAGAATATAATTCCCAAATTATAATTATTTATCCCGCATAGTAAGTCCTGACGAGCCCCCAAAATATTACAATTAATATATTACTTAATTTAAATACACATCGTGCTGTCGGCAAAGTTAAGTACAAATTATGCGAAAATTTGTTAACATATATTTTTCTGATTTTATTTTGAAAAAAAAAACATACAATAAAGAATATAAAACCAAAATTTCAATTATTTAGTCTGTACGGTACGTCCTGAAGAGCTCCTCAAAATTCACAAGTGCAATATAACATAAATTAATAGTACATTGAGGTATCCTCATGGTTAATGGTTATTAACTCAAAATTTTGTTAGGGAACATTTTATTTTCTATTTTTATTTCAAAAGTGTATATTTTGAAAATTAACTTACCAACATTTCAATTAATTAGCGTACACGGTACGTCCTGAAGAGCTCCTTAAAATTCACAAGTGCAACATAACATAAAATAATAGTGCATTGAGGTATCCTCATGGTTAACTGTAAATTACTCAAAAATTCGTCAAGAAACATTTTCTATTTTCATTTCTAAATTACATGCATTGAAGAATGTAAAACCAAAATTTCAATTGAACATTTTGGAAGGTACGTCCTGAAGAGCTCCTTAAAATCCACAAGTGCAAAATAACATCAGTTAATGGTACCTTTGAGGTATCGACAAGTTTAATGGTTAATTACTCAAAACATTATTAAAAAACATATTTTTTTTTAATTTTAATTCGAAAGTATATATATATATATATATATATATATATATATATATATATATATCTTAATATATATAAATTTAGTGTCACAGGCGTTGTCCTCTATGGACGCCTAAAATACTGAACCGATTTAAAATTGGTTTTGCTCACCGTGTACATATGGATCCCATTTAGGACATAGGATATAATAAAAATCTCAATTAATAGCCGAAATTTTATATTATTTAATTAAAAAACATTTAGACATTTCGCCATAGTTTGAGTTCTGTCGAGAGGTTACCACTCTAGACAAAAACCATAGAGCCACGAATTCAATGCAGGAGTTAACGCATTACGATGCGTTTCTATGAGCTACGGTGACGGTTGGAAACATATTATGTATTTTTATGTTGCCAATTGTGATTTGATAATAAGCATACGGTGAAATATGTTTGTGAGGTTAGGTTATTATATGTCAAATGCTTATTGAAAGTTTTAGCAGAGAATATCACCATTCACGGTATGTATATTAATGTATTGAACACCGTTATATTATTACACGATACAAATCAAGCATTATAACCAAATTTATCATTTTCCTAGTAACTAATAACAACTAAATCTAATAAAGCACAGTGGTAAAATTCAAATATTCAAATATTCAAATATTCAAATATTCAAATGGATATTATCTATGGATGATTAACGTGCAGTTGGTTCTGACTTTTATTAATTAAGTTAATTGTATTGATGGTGCACTATCGAGTCTATTGAAAAACAACCATGTAAGTATTAAAACATAGAAGTGTTTCATAGTGAATTCATCAAGCAGGAAACTACAATGAATAAAATGAGCTAATATTACAGCCTGCAACACATTGTGTTAATATTACAGCCCAATTTTGACGAAGACAAAAACATGCTCCAATATTTTCAGGCAATGAACTTTAGAAATAAAAAAGAAGCCATGTGCTGCAAGAAAGTTTTAAATAAGAAGTGATTATTTTCGAATGAATTTCTTCGATACCATCAGATTGCACGATACCATTTAAGAGGTAACAGTATTTGCGATGACTATCACCAAGGCTCAGGGACAAACAATGCCCGTTTTTGGACTTGAATTAGAAAATCAATGTTTTCTAATTCGTGCATCAATTAGTTTTAAGCTAGATTTATAAAAGCATTCATTATTGAGTAATAATAATGGAATGGGAATATGTGATACAGCTATATGAAACAAGTAAATAATTGAAATTAGAATAATGTATGCATAAATAAGTGAGCATAATGTATGTAATATAATAAATTAATCATATCGTATATATTTTTTATATATCGTAATATTCAAGTTTAGAAAAATATTATGCAGTCAATTGTATGTTAGCATAATGGTATTTATGAAATATATGTATGTTGAAAGTTATATAGGTGGTGTTTTAAATTAATAGTAAATTTGTTTAGAATATTATATATTATAATTCTTTGTAATTAAACGAGAATTATTTAGAAGTGTATATTGAATAATATTTAAATATATAATACATATATATATATATATATATATATATATATATATATCACTGGTTAAAAATTGAAAAATAAAGATACTAATAGAAAATCTTCACAATCAACTTAAATCGAATACATTTATAAGTTAAAGCATCGCTTGATTACTTATGATAAATTTTATAAATTTTTTCTAAACTTTAATTTATCGTTTAATTTTTTTTATTAATATATATTTTAAGGAAATTTTTATCAATAGTATTGATCCAGGTTGATCCATGTTGTTGTTGTTCAAATTATCGGAAATCAAACAATTTGCCGATTATAAAATATTTATTCTTTTATGCCGTGATAAATTTCGTAAATTTATCTGAACCAAACTCTACATTGTGTAAAAACAAAAGATCCACAAAACTCAATGCCAATTATTATATTTCTCTCGCTTACTAAAATCGTCGCGACCTGCCAATCTCCCACATACCACTATCGGAAATCAAACAATTTGCCGATTATAAAATATTTATTCTTTTATGCCGTGATAAATTTCGTAAATTTATCTGAACCAAACTCTACATTGTGTAAAAACAAAAGATCCACAAAACTCAATGTCAATTATTATATTTCTCTCGCTTACTAAAATCGACGCAACCTGCCAATCTCCCACAAAATAATAACTATAATTTTCACAGCAAAGGGGCAACATATTTTTGATGGCAAAACAACGTTTGCCGGGTCAGCTAGTATATATATATCTATATATATATAAATCTCGTGTCACGATGTTAGTTCGCGATGGACGCCCAAACTACTGGACCGATTTTAAATTTTAATGGCTCATCGTGTGCATATATATCCAACTTAGGTTATAGGAAATTTTGAAAAGTAAATTTGAAATATAAATATATAATTTTTATAAATTTCTAAAAATTTTGACAGAAAATGACCAAAAAAAAAACAAAACACTAAAATGACAAATGTCAAAATTAAAGGAAATTTGGATATATAATTTTTGAAAAAAAAAATTGACATTTCAAAAAATAAAATTCAAAAACATGTACATATATAGAAATATCCAACATTTATATCCAAATTTGATGAAATGCTACATACAAAATCACTGATTATAGTTTTAAATCTAATTAAAAATCAATGCTTAAAAATTTAAATAAATGTTGACATGAAAAAAAAAAAATGTCATCTGTCAATATTTATGAAAATAATTATATAAATAGATTTATGATTTAGATTTAATTGATTAGCTTACCAAATTATTTCGGAAACCAAAACTTCATTAAAACCTATAGATTAGAGATCACAATAAAAAAGCGGCACTTGAATTTAAAAATAATCATAACCAAAATTTTGACATGTCACAAAAAAAGAATGTTTAACGAGTTACTTAAATAAGACGCAAATAAATTAATTATTACAAGTTATGTTACAGAAAATATTGCCTAACAAATTATAGATACAAAACAATATTGTAAAATAAATATTTTCAAAAAATTTTGACAGAAAATGGCCAAAAAAAAACAAAACACTAAAATGACAAATGTCATAATTTATGGAAAATTTGAGAAAAAAAGATTTATGATTTTTGAAAAACAAAAATTGACAGTTCAGAAAATATAATTCAAAAACATGTACATATATAGATATATCCAACATTTATATCCAAATTAGATGAAATGCTATATTCAAAATTACAATTTATAGTTTTAAATCTAATTAAAAGTCAATGTTTATAAATTTGAATAAATGTTGACATGAAAATCGTCAAATGTCATTTGTCAAAATTTATGAAAATAATTATATAAATAGATTTACAATTTATATTTATTTGATTAGCTTACCAAATTATTTCGGATACCAAAACTTCATCAAAACCTTATAGATCAGAGATCACAATAAAAAGCGACATATTGAATTTAAAATTAATCATAAACAAAAATTTGACATTTCACAAAAAAAATGTTTAACGACTTCAATAAGAAACAAATAAATTAATTATTCCAAGTTATATTGCCGAAGAAATTATAGATACAGCACAATATTGTAAAATAAATATCATAGATTAATTTTCGACCAAAAAGGAAATATTTTGACATTTACAAATATACTGCATATTGAATATATGAAATTGACATTCACTATTTTTCAATTAAATGAAAATGTAAAAAATCAAATATTTATATAAAAAATTGTATATTCAGATGAAGATACTGATTTGTTAATTTAGACTGAAACCTGATTTATTCATTAATTTTTAAAAAAATTGGCATAAACAAAATTAAAATAAACAAAACACCTGCATCATGCGTTGGAATTAATTATCGAAGTGTAAAGAAATTTGTGTAATTAAAATAAAATATTATTATTATATGAGTTGAGATAAATTTTGATTGCCATCGCAAACGTTAATCATACAGAAAATTGTAACCTCTTAAATGGAATAGTACAATCTGAAGGTATCATTGCAATCTGACAAAAATAAACTAGACAAACTAAATACTATATCATATTATATTAAATTTCGATCCAGAAGAAAATATTTTGACAGTTATAATTAATTTGAAATGAAATGCAAATGTCAAAAATCAGATCTTTATGTAAAAAAATATTTATTTCCACAATATTCCCGTGTTGAATTTGCACTTTTTTATGAATTTAACAAGCATATAATATATTCATTGATCACTTAAAATAAATATTAATTTATAATAAATAAATATTGACGTATTTGACATGACAAAAGTATAATAAACAAAACGCTATGATGCGAGTGAATTAATTTTTGAAGTATGAAATGTCAAATAATTTTGAAAATTATAACAAGTTTTTAACTATTTGTCAGAAAGAATATATTTTATTACAAATTCATACCCATATCAAGCACCAAAGTAATAAATACTATTAATAAAATGACATATTATTTATAGACAATATGATTTTAATGCATATTTTAATTATATGTTTTATATAAATATCAAATAAATATATTTATGTTTCACTTGATTTTAATGAAAATAATTCAATGCCAAAATAAAAAGTATACATCTAAAATTATAGTCTAAATATTACAATTTTGATAAATAATCATCCATTATTTTACAGTACAAAAATTGATAAAAAATTAATAAAAGTGCCAAAAATCAAACATTTTATAGATTTGGACTCGGATTTCTCAGAACTTTATCCATGTTAGTTTCAGGGATAGTATGAATATCAATTTGCAGTCAAAAATTTATATGATAAGTGATTAAAACATTATAGATCACAATAAAAAAGCGACATATTGAATTTAACATTAATCATAAACAAAATTCTGACAGTTCAAAAAAAAAAATGAGTTTTTAACGACTTCAATAAGATACAAATAAATTAATTATTCCAAGTTATGTTATAGGCAATATTGGCAATCAAATTATAGATATAAATTATATCATATTATATTAAATTTCGAACCAAAAAGGAAATATTTTGGCATTTAAAAATTTAGTGCATATTGGATATTTGAAATTGACATTGAATATTTTAAAATTAAATGCAAAAGTAAAAAATCTGATATTTATATAAAAATTATATATTTAGATAATGGTACTGCGATGATTCAGACTAAAATCTAATTTATTCATTGATTAAAAATATTTCACTATTTGACATAAATAAAATTAAAATAAACAAAGCACTATGATGCGTTCGAATTAATTATCAAAATGTAAAGAAATTCGTGTAATAAAAATGTAACATTATTATTAATATATCATGTATATTATAAGAACTTTTGCAATGCGGAAAAATATTTATGATGGCAAAACAGCGTTTGCCGGGTCAGCTATATATATATATATATATATATATATATATTTGATGAGTATCCTAGGTTATTCAATATATAATAAATTATTGTACAACTTTGCTTCCGCCGCTTTTTTCATACAACTCGTATAGCAAAAATGGCAAAAACAAAGTTTATACTTGGCTAGTTTTAAATTATATAAGGTTGTCAAATAT